CTCACCTATGGTCCCCTAGTAGGAGGGACGACCCAGGACACCATGGAGGGACTATGTCTCTCTGTTGGCCTGGGAGCCCCTCATGCTTCTCCCAGCAGAGCTGGAGGAGGGGAAAGTCTGGGAGTCTCTGCTAAGACTGCTGCCCCAGTGACCTATAAAGTTGAAGACGAGGAGTAAAAATAAATTAATACAAATGTAATCTATCTGCAACGAATAATTATAAAAAGCATAAAATTATGACCTCTGTTATACACATGGATTTGGAAGAAACAATGGTTACACAGGAGGAAGAAAAAGTCTAAATCTTCAAGGCAAAGCATGTATTTAATTCATTTATACACATTATCAATGCAGGGACATTAATATCACACAGGTAGCTATTTGCTTTTGCTAGAAAGTGTTTTTAGCATATTTATTTTACATAAACTACTTTAGGTCTTTTAAAAGGTTCTTACTGACATGAACTCCCAGCTAAATAACTGGGATAACAGTAATTACAGATATTAATATCTATAGCTGGATAATTACTAGTTACATTTGCTTCGGTAACTTTTTCTTAGAAATTCACTTTTAGGAGTAGTTTTACAGCATTTTACTTTTATTTGAGTAAATATATGATAAAGTATCAAACTTCTGGCTAATCCGGCCATTGAGTAACTTCACTTAAATAAAACAAGCTTGTTCTAAACAAGCACCTTTGAGTTACAACTTTAGTGTTTTTTGTATTCAAGGCTTATTGGTTAAATGTTGTTTTCCATCTGCCGTGTCATTTGGAGGTTGAGTGATAATACAGTAAACAGTCTATTCTAAATTAAGCTATTACATACTGTAACTATTGATTCAGTAAGTATAACTACAAAAAATTAAATCAGTTATTATCATGGGTAGAAGGTAGATTCCAAAATATTTTTTTACCTTTACTTGAGTGATGTCTTTAAAGGATACTTAACACTTTTACTTGAGTAATAATAGGATCAAGTATTGCTATTCTTACTTAAATACCATTTTTTGGTACTCTACCCACCTCTGGTAATATCAAAAACTCCCCTCAACCTTTCAGTTGACAAATGTTGAGACTATAGTAGTTAATAGACTACAGAACACAATCCAATATAAAGTAATTAAAAATAAATCCACACTATCTAATTCAGTAAAATAATGAAGACACATCTGCATTTAAGAGTTCATTTATAACAATGTTAAACTTTCCTAGTAAAACATTTATTTTATTTTTGTCTCTCCCATATGTTTTTAAAAAAAAGCAGGAAGTCAGAAAGGATACAGCTGATAAATTCCTCTTGATATTGTGCTATAATGAAAATGAAATGTTTTACAACCTTTCATTAACTCAGGAAGTCAAATACAGTGGATG